CAACCAACAGGTGAGGCAGAGTGGGCAGAAGCCCAATAGCAGTGCAGAAACGGTGATGATCACCATACTGAAGGGACTTGCGAAGACATCATCAGTGTTGGCTCGAGAGGCCACGTAGGAAAAGCGAAGTTGACCACACTGCTGCAGCTCTCGAGCAAGGAAGTAGCGAAGAGCAATGTGCTTTGTTATGTGCTCCAGTCTCTGCTCCTGACACTGTCAGAAAGTAATGTATTGTGTAGGCTGTAGTGGGGTACTCAACAGAGAGTACAACCCTTTTGGGGTTTCCTATATGTACTCCACCTGCCTGCTAGTACAAACCCTCTTCTGTTCTAATTTCACATTCCTACTCGTTAGTTCCTGACATGGTAATCAGAGCAGGCTCTTTCCTTGAGCCTTCCTCAATGGGTCCACCGTCCGCTTCCGCTCCTGTTCTTTCAGTCGCGCGCCCCGGGCGAGTGACTATTTTCCTGCCTGTCGTGCGCCCCGGGCGCGCGACGTTTTCTGCCCGCCACGCGTCCCGGGCGCGCGGCGGTTTTCTGCCCATCGCGCGCCGCCAGACTGCACCCGCGCGCCGCCCCGTGCACCCGCGCGCTGCCCCGGTACACCCGCGCGTAGCCCCATGGCACCCGCGCGCGGCCCCGTGGCACCCGCGTGCGGCCCCGTGGCACCCGCGCGCGGCCCCGTGCATCCGCGCGCCGCCCCTCTGTAGCCGCGGTGCAGCTTCTCCCCCCCCCCCCCCCCCGTTTTTCTCCTTCCTCTCCCTACTGCGCGTGCAGCCGTGGGGGGAGGGTATGGGGGTGCCGGGTAGGGGGGGTGGCAGATATGGGGGTGGCGGGTGTGAGTTATCTATTGCTCCTCCTCCTCCTCTCTCTCCCACTGCTGCAGCTGCCACTGAGGGGGGGAGGGTGTGGGGGAGCCGAGGGAGTGGCGCTAGGGATGGAGAAGGGGGTGTGGGACAATGGGAGGAGGTTGAAAGGAGGTAGCCGCCATGAAGCCAGCAGCTCCAGTAGTCCGGATGCCCTTGCTCCGATAGCCCGTGAGCTCGTTGCTCCAGTCGCCCGTGGGTCAGTTGCTCCAGCCGCTCGTCTAGCTGCGGAGCCAGTTACTCCAGTAGTTCGGATGCCCTTGCTCCGGTAGCCTGTGTGACAGTTGCTCCAGTCGCCCGTGTGCCAGCAGTTTCATCTGCCGCCTCCTACCTCCTCTCCTCTCATAGTCCCTCCTCCTCCTCCTCCTCCTCCTCCTCCTCCTCCTCCTCCTCATCCTCCTCCTCCTCCTCCTCCTCCTCCTCCTCCTCCTCCTCCTACTCCTCCTCCTCGCTTGCCCTCTAGTTCTGCCACTAGCCTTTGCTTATGACCTATTCATGCGATTGCTTGTTGTATTGACTAAACCCCACTTTGCCTATGGGGTGTGTCAGAAAGTTATGTGTTGTGTAGGCTGTAGTGAGGTACTCAACAGAGTGTACAACCCTTTTAGGGTTTCCTATATGTACTCCACCTGCCTGCTAGTACAAACCCTCTTCTGTTCTAATTTCACATTCCTACTCGTTAGTTTCTGATAGAGACAAGTCAAGCATGACCTTGTTGTCAACGTACAGAAGTGTAGGAGAATGAAGCCGCTCCCCCAAGTCGGTCAGCAGGTAGGTCAGCCAGCGTAGCTCCTGTCCAGCCGTAGTCCCGGCATAGATCTCGGCCTCACAGCTGGAACCAAGCACAGAAGAAGAACGAGTGGTCCTCCACAAGACAAAACCAGAGCCAAGACTGAAAGTGTAACCCTGTGACAAACGCTGGGTCGTCTGGTCGTCGGCCCAGGAAGCGTTGGAGTGTTCTGTGAGCTGAACTCTGTCCTCCAAGCACGAGAACCATGCCCGATGTACTGCACAAATAACGCAATACCCTCTTTGCAGCATCCCTGTTCTCCTTTCAGCGTCGACCGGGAGCCATGTAGGGAGCCAGGAGGCAGAGAGGGTGCCCGAGGTCAGGTCATGTGCACGTCATCAAGTATATATAAGGCAGCCCACAAGCTCTGGATACGGACCACTCGGCTCTACGGACTCGTCCAAAGATGGAGCTGAGAGCGAGTGGCCTATAGGCAGAGGAGTAGGCTGTGGCGAAGAGAACGGGAAGCCGAAGCGCTGGAGGAGCTGGTGCACCATGTGTGACTGAGTCAGGGTGATGGTGCGTCGTGCTCTGTCCCGGGTGGTTTGCAAGCCAATATAGCTCCGCAGCTCACCCAGATCAGTGCAGGTGTGTCTCTCCTGCAGCTCCGTCTTCACTAGGGCCAGCGCCTCAATGTCAGCAGTAGCAAAGACCAAGTCGTCGACGTATATGAGAACGTAGAACGACGTCAGGGTAGTGTCGGTGTCTAGAAAGAGCGACGGGTCGGCAAAGGAAGGAGCAAACCCAAGAGCCGCAAGTGTCGTCCTCAGTGTGTCGTGCCACTCGCGGGGCGCCTGGCGGAGACCATAGATTGGCGGTCGGAGGTTCCACTGGGTACCTTCAGGAAACGACCCAGTAAAGCCAGGTGGGCGGCGCAGCCAGATCTCCTCGTACACGGTGCCCTGCAAGAAAGTTGAGGAGAAGTCGAGAGAGCGCAGTTCGTAGTCGCGTTGTACGTTGTGCTGCAACGTGCAGCAACGCCTGAAGGGTAGTCATCTTTGAGGTGGGGGAGAAAGACTGGAAGTAGTCGACCCCCTGTCGCTGACTGAAACCTCGAGCAACGTAACGCGCCTTGAAGGCAGGCGGAGAACCCGGCGGCTTCTTCACTATTAAAATCCACATGTCATCGACTATGTTCACCCTAGAAGGAGAAACCTCGTCGATGTAAGTGACTGTGGACTTCCATGAAGCCATCTCTGCGTCCATGGCTGTCTTTCACTAAGAGGAGTATGTCAGAATGAGAAGCTAGAATGACTGCATTGAAAGCATTGTGGATACAAGTACTAACCCTAACATTGGGTTGTACCCCATATGAGATACCCCACTATAGCCTACACAAAACTAGCATATACATATAGTTTGACAGAGTACTCAGCCGCGATCGCCTCAGCGTAAGAGCGCGGTGTAGGGATGTCAAGTGCATCCGGGTCTCCCTCAGGGCAAAGCAGCATGGATGCGAAACGAGGTAAAGCGGCCGCGAGACACTCAAGCTCAAGATGCCTGTCCTCAAGGACGTCACTGGCAAGGGCAAGTTCACCCCCGAGTGTCAGAATGTGATGTTTGTCTAGCCTGCAGTGGGGTACTCTATAGCGAGTACAGCCCGAATTAGGGTTTGCTATATGTACTCAACTGCCTGCTAGTGAAAACCCCTCTTTCCTGTTTCTGACTTCTGCCTAGTCTTTTAACACCGAGGGACAGAGGACAGACATGCTCAGATTCGGTAACAAGGCTCGCAACGTAGTCGAGACGACTCCTAGCAGCAAAGTCGACAAGATTAGTGACTAGGGCAAACGCAGGAGTGGACTCAAAGTCAGGGTCAGTGACGACAGTAGCGAGGAGACACACAACCCGTTACAAATAATTATTCTCAGCTGACCTGACGAACATTATCATCGCACAACCCGTTACAACCAAATGGAGCCATCGCAAGGGAGCAATGAATTATGAACAGTACACCACACCACACCATCCGTCCCCACACGCAGCCCCTTCCGGGAACATCAATTTATGGAGACAGCAAACACGAGAGATCATATCCCACAACTGAATAAATCTACTATAGTTGTCTCACCCTTCCTCCATCCTGACCTGACCGGTCACAACCTCATCACAACACCGCCGCTACTACAACCCTGTGACCTATCCGGCATACAAGGACCTCTTCCTCACCGAGGAAAGGGAGATGTGACAGAGCCACAAGGGAGTTGTTGTTAGACTGCGCTCGCAGGGAGTGGGCAACAGCACACAAAGTGAAAGGATGGTGCCATACATCCCATTGCATAACATGTACAACTCTTGTAAAGCCATCATGATGCCAGCCCTACATGGATGTTACGAGTGCAATCGAGTGAACGAACCAGAATTCCACTATCGAAGCAAGAATACAATGAGCGAAGGTATGAGCGAAGAATATATAGCGAAACTACAGTGGTAACGGTAATGGACTGTGGTTGTCGCGTGACGGGCCTGGGACTGAGGTTGGGAAAAGTGTCGAAGCGGAGGCCCGGAGCGCGGGTTACCCGCCGAGCCGTGAGGTCGGGGTGCGACGTGCGAAGGTGGCAGGAGGATTGTCGATGCGAGAGTTGCGAGTGGTAACGGTGCTGACTGTGGGGCTACAGTGGTGTACGCGCTGAGCGGGGACGCGAAGCAAGGAAAAGGAATTTTCCTTACAATGGATAACGGTGCTTTCTCATATGGTTGCACGACCCCTGGCACTGAGAGCAGTATGGGGAAGCACTAAGGGGTTGAGGTTGGCGTACCGTAGCTGATTTAGGGTTAGGGAAGAAGAAAGCGGAGTGGGGCGGAGGAAGCGTTGGAGACGAGGGGAGACATAAGGAGCTGACAGACTCTTTATGTCCAGGTGGGTAAGGAGGGAGGTAGGTAGGGAGCCCTTGAGCTTGTTGCATGCAAGGTCCAGGTGGGTCAGTATGCGGGCAAGAGTGAGCAAGCTGTGCAGAGAACTTGGGAGCTGGTTGCTTAGAGAATTGAGGAACGCAGGCAATGGGTTGAGGTATGAGGAGGCTTGCAGTGACAGGCTGGAGGAAGCCAGAGAGCTGGTTGTGAGGCAGGAGAGGCAGTATATTGCGCTGCTCAGCCTCAACTGCTCTGGTAATGGTTAAAACAGCCAGTGCTAATTATATTATGAAAGTCTGAAACATTTCCTACATCTACCAGTCGTACACGCGAAATCGAAAAAGCGTAAACTGCACTACTGCACTTCACCGACACTTTCTGTCAGTTTTGGAAACCTGCTAAGGAATGCGCATGTACGGGTAGGGGGATGTTTGACGCCACTAATGTGAGTGTGTGTCACTTTTTTCTATGGCTGATGTTGTCGTATCCAGACTACATCGCTGGCTCCGCGTCCTCGCCAAGGTACTCCTGGTCGTCCTCCGCGCAGGCCTCCTGGTACTGCTGGTACTCGCTCACCAGGTCGTTCATGTTGCTCTCCGCCTCAGTGAACTCCATCTCGTCCATGCCCTCGCCCGTGTACCAATGCAAGAAAGCCTTGCGCCGGAACATGGCAGTGAACTGCTCGCTGACACGCTTGAACATCTCCTGAATGCTCGTGCTGTTACCGACGAAGGTGGACGCCATCTTCAGCCCGCGGGGAGGAATGTCGCACACGGATGACTTCACGTTGTTGGGAATCCATTCAACGAAGTACGACGAGTTCTTGTTCTGCACATTCAGCATCTGCTCGTCAACCTCCTTGGTGCTCATTTTCCCGCGGAACATGGCGGACGCGGTCAGGTAGCGGCCGTGTCTGGGATCAGCGGCGCACATCATGTTCTTCGCATCCCACATCTGCTGGGTCAGTTCAGGGACGGTCAGAGCGCGGTACTGCTGAGAGCCGCGGGACGTCAGGGGAGCGAAGCCGACCATGAAGAAGTGCAGGCGAGGGAAGGGAATGAGATTGACGGCGAGCTTGCGCAGGTCGGAGTTCAGCTGGCCAGGGAAGCGCAGGCAGCAGGTCACGCCGCTCATGGTAGCCGAGATCAGATGGTTGAGATCACCGACTGCACGACAACAAGGACATTCTGTGAGAAACCAGCCTTTGAACCGAATGTGAGAACATTCTGCACGACATCAGGATTTGAACCAGGTAGATGAAATCGAGAGTAGATGATGAACCAGTTATTTGCAGCAGAAGGCATGGAACTAACAGCTTGGGTTGGCGAGCTTCAGAGTGCGGAAGCAGATGTCATAGAGCGCCTCATTGTCCAGGACCATGCACTCGTCCGCGTTCTCGACGAGCTGGTGCACGGAGAGAGTGGCATTGTAAGGCTCCACGACTGTGTCCGACACCTTCGGCGACGGGAACACGGAGAAGGTCAGCATCATGCGGTCGGGATATTCTTCCCGGATCTTGGAAATGAGGAGGGTACCCATTCCAGATCCCGTGCCACCACCGAGGGAGTGGCACACTTGGAAGCCTACAAGCAGCGAACATAAGAGGAATAGATTGTCAGTCACGTCCTTGAGTAAAAGCTTCATATGCTTAAAGAGTGAGATGATGTCGAGAATCTCAGCCGCAGAGTTAAATGCTGGGGAGCTCAAGGAGTTGATGTACCTTGTAGGCAATCGCAGTTCTCGGCTTCCTTGCGGACGACATCGAGGACCGAATCGATCAACTCCGCACCCTCAGTGTAGTGGCCCTTAGCCCAGTTGTTGCCAGCACCGGATTGGCCGAAAACGAAGTTGTCAGGACGGAAAACCTTGCCGTAAGGGCCAGAGCGGACACTGTCCATCACACCAGGCTCCAAATCCTGGAAGAGAAGAACCACACAGCCCTTAGAACATCTTCCAACAACTAAGCACACGTGGTGCTGACTCAATCGCAAGCTAATGTGTTCGTTGAAGTGCTGCTGAAGAATCCGGATTTACCATGAGGATGGCGCGAGGGACATAGCGTCCGCCGCTAGCCTCGTTGTAGTACACATTAACGCGCTCCAACTGCAGCGCGGAGTCTCCCTTGTAGTTACCCAGAGGGTCAATGCCGTGCTCCTCACAGATGACCTCCCAGAACTTCGCACCGATCTGGTTGCCGCACTGGCCACCCTGGATGTGGAGGATTTCCCTCATGTTGACGGTGGAGAAATAAAAGTCGGGGGAGAGCTAAGATTACCAGGCTAAGCAAGCAAATGAGAGCGGCTGTGGTGCTGCTGAAAAGCTCTTGCTGTGTGAAGTGTGAAAATGAGCTGGCTTTATCAGAATGAGGTCGTCCCAGATTCCTCTGGACAGTGCTGTTGGTGAGATTTCCCTCCTGGCTTTGGTTTGGCAGGTCCTGGCGGGCCCCGACCGAGTCCCGAGCCGAAAGATTGTGATGACAGAGCGTCACCGCCTGTCATTGTGTTGTCGCACGCACGCGAGTCGCGCCACCCCACGTGAAACGAATCATGCGAAGAAAAATTGCGATACTCACGGTAGCAGAGTGGGCGTGGGCGAAATCTCATGGATTAGGCAGTTTCGCAAGTTCTGTGTAGCCGTTGTAGTCTGCGACGTTTTTTAACAACGTGGCATGGATATTGCGTTGACGCCTCGGGAGGGCCGGAATTCGAGGGTGGACAGCGCACTTTCCTATTCCTCATCGTAGATCTCAGATTTCTGACCGAGTGTCAGAGTTTCGCGCTTTCAATATGGCGGGAAGTGGGATATGCAAAGTAGCTCAGCCTTCCAATTGGACAAAAGAGTGGAAGACGTGCCGCTCGTTCAACTGGCTGGTCTTTAGGCCACCGTGGATTGCGTTGGCTGCCTCTTACAAACTCGTCAATCCAATGGCTGGGGACCAGCCAGGTCAGCCATCACTTTGCTTGGTCTTGGCTGATGCTATGCATAACTTTGTTGACAGGCTCGATATAACGTGATGCAAAAATCACTATATGGCACAAATACTATCCAGAATAGAACAAATGCTTGTTAGGCGTTAATGTCCTTCCTCCAACTTTATTGCAGTTCTCCTAGATGATGACAAATGGCTTCACCAATAAAGGCACAGCCCCGGCTTCTACCGCGTATGTATGTATCTCCACATCCTCCTCTTGTTCTGCCAAAATTCAACATCCGCGAGGAAGTAATTTCTTATGATTCCGTTCTGCCAAGCAGCAAAGGTGGTTTCGTCCTAGCAGCCGCGATTCGTCCTAGCAGCCACGATTCGTCCTAGCAGCCGCGTTTTGCCCGTAGCAGCAGAGATCCGCTAGCAGCAGGCGCGATTTGCCCGTAGCAGCAGCGATCTGCTAGCAACAGGCGCGTTTTGCCCGTAGTAGCAGAGATCCGCTAGCAGCAGGCGCGATTTGCCCGTGGCAGCAGCGATCCGCTAGCAGCAGGCGCGATTTGCCCGTAGCAGCAGAGATCCGCTAGCAGCAGGCGCGATTTGCCCGTAGCACCAGCGATCCGCTAGCAGCAGGCGCGATCTGTCCGTAGCAGTAGAGATTCGCTAGCAGAAGGCACGTTTTTCCCGTAGCAGCAGCGATCCGCTAGCAGCAGGCAAGATTTGCGCGTAGCAGCAGCGATACGCTGGCAGCAGGCGCGATCTGCCCGTAGAAGCAGCGATCTGCTAGCAGCAGGCGCGAGATCCGCCTATAGTAGCGTGATATCCACTAGGAGCAGCGCGAGGCGCTCGCAGCAGTGAGAAATCCGCTAGCAACAGCGAGAGTCGTTCGTATCGTAGAAGCGCGAAGTTCATAGGTGTCAGCGACATCTACCCATAGAAGCTTGAAATCCGCCAGCAGCAGCGAGACTCGTTCGCAGTAGCTGGAAACCCGTTGGCATTTAGCGCGATGTCGGCCCATACTAGCGCAGGCCCCGAGTATCAGCGATAAACTCGCTAGCAAGAGCGTGAACCGCCCGTAGCAGTAGGACGCTCGCCCGAAGCACTGCAGGCAGCGAGTAGCAACAAGGAACTTGCTAGTAGAAGTGTAAACCGCCCGTAGCATCAGGAAACTCACCCACAACAGCGCAGGCCGCGAGTAGCAATGGAAAACCCGCTAGCAGCAGTGTGAACCGTCCGTAGGCTGGAGGCAACTCGCCCACAGCAGCACAGACATCGAGTAGCAGTCAGAAACGATGCTAGTAGCAGCGTGAACCGTCATCCGCTTTGAGCCATGGACGACGACCCAGACCCCGGTGACCCCGGGGTCGGGGAGAGGGGAGGACCTGACAGGGGGACGACAGGGGCCAATACGAGCGAAGGGGGGGAATTTACGGCAGCACCCACCGAGACAACCCGCCTAGTGGCTGCCCATAAACGATGAGGAGGAGCTGTGGAAGGGCCCGAAGGTGCATACATCCGTCGAATGCACAAGGAAGATGCTCTATGCCTCTTCGGCAAACCAGCCAAGAGGCCATGCCATGAAACCAACAATGCGGAGACTATACAGCCTATTCAGGACCCTCACAGCAACCAGGCTAGACGGAGCAGCGGCCCCGACCAGTTAGCCGACAACGGCAGGGGGGTGTCCCCAATCAACGAGGAGGGACAAACGAATGCGAACGAGGCACCCGAGGAAGCGAGGGCACTATGGGAGGCCCACCGTAGGCGCTTGCAGCTACAGCACGTCCACCGTAGCCGTGACCTCGCGGAAACGACCATACAGCGAAGCGCCAGAAGTCCTGTGTCACCTCCCTTAGACGCCGACACTTCGCTGATAGGGCCTCGGTTGGCTCAACGGCAAGAGCGAAGGCGCCGCAAGGGAGGGGGGAGAGGAGGGCAACAGGGGTGGCTTGTAAGGGGCCGGCAAGGGCTACGGGTTGGAGGGCAGCATGGGCTGTTGGCGAGGGGGCAACAAGAGCTGCAAGATGGAGGGCACCAGCTGCCACATAGCGGCGGGCAAGTGCAGCTACAGCGCGGAGGTACAGCGAGGGCTGCCAGTGTGGGGGCGGTATCAGGAGCTGACGGAGAGGGAACAGCGGCTGTTGGAGAAAGGGCAGCAGTGGTCGAAGAGGTGGCAGATGGGGCGGCGACCGCTGCACCAGACGGGGTTGCGACTGAAGTTAGGGACCGGGCTTTAGCACGGCCAGCAGGGGCGGTAGAGGCCACAGCTTGGGCAGAGGAGTCTGCTGCAGGAGCGGCAGAGACCGCAGACGGAGTGGCGCGGGCCGCAGGAGAGGCTGGCAGCGAGGGGGACGCTGCAGTCCCACCACAGCCCCATGACGAGGTCCCCCCTGCCCCCCCCAGGCCCACCCCCATGCAGGCAGGAGCTTTAATAGAGGGGCAGGAGGAAACAGTGAGGACAGGGAATCCGGAGACTGCACCCATCCACACCCCGCATCTTTTAACCCACTCCCCCCCGGGAGCATCCACCCTTTGCCCCCACCCTCACAGGCATTCTCGCGAATTAAGTGGGGCAGCCAAGGCCCGGGCTTTTCTAGAGGAGCCCTGCTCCCCGACTATCAACTCCCAGCCATCAATACCTCTCCTTCCACCAGGTCCGCCCTCACCGGGAGATGTGCATATGTCCGAGGCGCTTGGTCCAGTCGCATCAACCCTCCGCCCCGTACGCTACACAATTCCACAGCGCCGGTTACCGGCACCTCATCCCACTGCTAGGAACTTGCCCCTCCCCTACCATCCCCCATTGTTATGTGATGCTATCACTTGCATTCACGTCCGTCTGCCTCCCATCACATGTTTGTGCGTTGCATGCGTGGTGTGAGCGTGTGCAAGAATTTGTGTTTGATGTGGTTTGGTTTTTCTGAGTGTGTGTGAATGTTATTTGGCTTGAGCAAATATCTGAAGTGACTCCTCTGCTCAAGAGCTTTCCGACGAACCAAGTATCGCTTAAATCGGAGCACGAACAAGAAAATTACGAACGTTGGAAGTTCGTATGCTTTTGATATTTGGTTGTGGTGACTATGGGAAGTTGTGGGGTTGACTCAATATGGGGTGCAGACTTTTGGGGGTTGGGAAATTCGTCTTTTCTACTGTAGTTGCTGCCAAATGGTTGGGAGAAACCAAACCAGGTTGGCAAGTGTGGCCAAGTTGGGTTGAGGTGGATTGAGGAGGTTGGGATAGTGACAAAGGTCAAAGTTGGGTTGCCTATGGGGAAGGGAATTGTGTGGCATGGAGTTTCCTTTGGTTGGGGACTCCTTGGGACCTTCCCTCTCGTCCTCCTCTTCCCTCCTACCTGGTTCAGTGCTACTCTAACTTCCTTGTGTGTTAATCTTGTGAACTTGTGAGACTCTTGTGATTGAGTTAAGATTCTATGGCAGCATACCCCCTAGTGCGCCGAAATTGATAACTCAAGAAATACTTCACCTTTTCGTACGATTCAACTTGGAAATTGTAGCCACGGAGTAGAGCTACATTATATCTGAGTTTGGTGAAGTTTTAATTGTGAACGTTTCGTCGACGGCGTTTCTTGTGAACTCGAATTTTCTGTCCAGAAACTAGGCCCAACGATTTTGTGATATTTCGGCTCCTAATCTTCATAGACTCCGTCCTTAGTCTCTAACAAGTGGTATCAGAGCTGATTAAGGACTTTGTGGAGAGTCTACTGAAGTGTGAAGACCCTCCTAGACCCACCATGGCCTGTGGGCGTGCCTAAGTGGAGTTCTGGAGGTTGGATGTGACTTCCGCTAAGGGGAAACTCTGCCGAAATTTCGTTGGCGCCGACACTTGTGAAGATTGTGTGGATCTACATTGTGACCAGCAAAAGGGGGAGCTGAAACCTCTGATTGGGAGCAGAGGAGATGAATCAAGGGAGTGGAGATGCAGCTGAGAAGAGGAGTGAACCGCCACCATCCAAGATCGAAGCGTTGGATGGCTCCAACTATGAGGAATGGAGCGGGCGGATGCGGAGCGCCTTCAAGCGCTACAAGCTGCTGAAAATTGCAATGGGAGAGGAGAAGATTCCGGGGGAAGGAGATGCCCGCGATCGGTGGATTGAGAAGAGCGCGGTGCTGTACGACCTCATCCTCCAATCGGTCAACAACGACATGTTCCAGCACATCAAGGATTTGGTGGAGTTGGATGATTCCGGACCGAAGGCATGGAAGCTGCTACGCGACGTGATTCAGCCAAACACGCTGCCGATGGTAATTGTGTTGGAGAAGGAGTTGGCTGCCCTCTCCATGAAACAGGGAGATGATGTGAAACCGGTCCTTGACAAGATCAAGGACACCTATGCGAGGATGGCAGCGGCGGGCAGCGAAGTGTCGCAGATGCAACAGTGCACCAAGATCATCTCGGTGCTCGACAACTCGTGGGACAACCTCATCCCCACCCTCAACGTTCAGAAGGACAAATGGACGCCTGAGTGGCTAGGGCAGCAGATTCTGCAGGAGGACTTCCGCAGGCGCCACACGGGAGGTGGTGCTGCCAATAAAACTGCTGAGGGGTATGGAGCTGCAGGAGGCAGCAGAGGAAGAGGGGGAGGGAGAGGCCGAGGCCGTGGGAGAGGCTTCGGCAGAGGGAGAGGCCGAGGTGACTATAATGAGGGGCATGGGAGCTCTGGTGGCAGGGGGAGCACCCGAATGGAGGGTGCGTGCTGGTACTGCAAGAAGGCTGGACACCCGTGGTTCAAGTGTTTCAGCCGGCCTGAGGGATGGGCACCTCCAGGCATGAAGCCGCCAAGTGGTGAACGTGCACGAGGTGGCGCTGTGCAAGGTTCAGGTGCACAAGGTAAAGCCGACCCTGGGATGTTCCTCATGGTTGAGGATGTGAAAGCGAGTGAGGATGATGTGGGTTCGGTTGGGAAGGTTGTGATGCACCCCCTCACTCACTGGGTGATCGATTCAGGTTGCACAAGTCACATGACCCCACGGGCAGATTTGCTTGACGAGGTAAAACCCCCGGGGAAGATCAAGTTTGTGGCTGCCGCTTCAGGTGCTTTGCTCCCTGTGACTGGTGTGGGGAATGCCAAGGTAATGGGAGCTAATGGGGGGCTTGTGGGGCTGGGGAATGTGTTGCTGGTAGAAGGTTTGTCCGCTAACCTCCTCTCTGTGCGCCGGCTGCAGAAAAGCAAGGCCAAAGTGACTTTCGGCCCAACCAGCTGCCGTGCAAAGCTTGGGAAGTTGCTGCTGTGGGATTTGGAGGAGAAGAGCAGCTGCATCAAGGACCTATGGCAGCTGCCCATCATCCCTTGGAATGGGAAACCACCAGCAACGGCAGCGGCTGCAGCAACGGCTAAGGCATCTGCAGGAAGAGAGGAGACTGCACCAACCGATGGGGCCCTGGATGCAGTCAAGAAGGTGCAGCAGCCACAGCAGCCACATGGTGAGGTGCTTGCTGGTGTGGATGCGACCGCTGCATGGGCAAAGGCTTCATCTGGGATTGGTGAGGCCGATTGGGAGACGTGGCACGAGAGGTTGTGTCACATTAACATTCCGATGCTGCAGAAGTTGGTGAAAGATGGGAGCTTGAAGGGGCTGGAGGTGAAGAGGGCAGCAAAGGAGATTGGGAGCTGCCCTACATGCCTTGAGACCAAATTCACAAAGTTTCCCTTCAGCAGCAGCATAGGACCAGTCAAGGCTCCACTTGCACTTGTGCACATGGAGGTGGTGGGCCCCACACGGGCCCCTTCTCTCTCGGGCATCCGCTACTTCTTGACCATTGTGGATGACCACACGCGTGCGGTGTGGGTGTACCCTCTCAAGACCAAGGGGGAGGTGGCAGCGGCTGTTCTTAAGGAGTGGATGCCGAGAGCTCAAAGGGAGAGCGGACATAAGGTGAAGGTGATCCGCACTGACAACGGGGGAGAATTCATTGGCGCTGATTTTGAGGCGGTGCTGAAGAAGAAGGGGATCCAGCATCAGCTCACGGTGCCCTACAACCCTCAGCAGAACGGCGTGGCTGAGCGGTTCAACCGGACCCTCCAGGAAGGTGCTCGCACTCTTCTTGGGCGTGCAGGGCTGCCGGATCCGTTTTGGGTGACAGCACTGCGGCAGGTCGTTGTTGTGAAGAACCGGGTGCTGGCGACTGTGGGGGACAAGCAATGGGTCCCCTACACCAAGTGGTATGGGAGTGCACCAGCTGTGAACATGCTGAGAGCCTTTGGGTGCATGGTGGTATTTCATGTGCCTAAGGAGAAGAGGGGAAAGTTGGAGGCTTCTGGGAGATGGGGTGTGCACTTGGGGCTTGCTAAGGATCACAAGGGCTGGCTGATTTGGGACTTGACCAGCCAGCAGCTGATTGTGTCAAGGGATGTGAAGTTCCTTGAGTCCTTGTACTACAAGGAGTGGAAGCAGCAGCAGCAGAAGCTTCCTACGACACCGCTAATTGTCGAGGCCGATGAGGTGCAGCGGCCTTCGAGGCAAGTGGAGGTTTCTGTCTCTGAGTATGAGATCTCTGGGGTAACTGAGGATGGGGGAGAACCTGAGGTGGAGGAGCAGCAGCTGCAGCAACAGCAGCCGCAGCAGCAGCAGCAAGGTGCTTCACAAGGTGCCGCACGTCCTGCTGACCGTCCCCGGAGGGAATTGCGCCCTCCTAACTGGCTGACCTATCCAAGCTTTGGCAAGCCAAAGGTGGTACGGGCTGGGAGTGTGGCTGAGCACTGTGATGAGGATGAGATAGCACACTGCTACTGGGCAGCCGTTCCTGAGCCCAAGACGCTAGCTGAAGCATTGAGCGGGCCGGATGCTGAAAAATGGAAGCAGAGTATGAAGGAGGAGTATGACTCGCTGCTGGAGAACGAGACGTGGGAGCTGTGTGAGCTGCCACCTGGGCAGAAGGCCATTTCTTCCAAGCTGATCTTCAGGCATAAGTACGGACCAGATGGGGAGCTGACCCGCTACAAGTCAAGGCTTGTGGCTAAGGGGTTTCAGCAGACAAAGGGGAAGGATTTTGACGAGATCTTTGCTCCTGTGGGGAAAGGCATAACACTGAAAGTGTCATTGGCAATGGCAGCAAACCGTGGATGGCGGGTGAAGCAGATGGACATTACCACCGCCTTCCTCAATGGGATCATTATGGAGGAGCTGTACATGTTACAGCCTGAGGGGTTGGATGATGGGAGCGGCAGGGTGTGCAGGCTGAAGAAGGCCATCTATGGCCTGAAGCAGGCTCCTCGTGCATGGTACCACAAGCTAGAGGAGACACTGCTGGCTGGGGGGTTCAAGAAGAGTGAGTGTGACCACAGCCTGTTCCTGCTAGAAGAGAAGGAGCAGTTTCTCATGCTCCTGGTGACGACATCCTGCTCTTCTCTGAGTCGTCTTCAATGATTGAGCGTGTGGAGGAGATGCTGGAGATGCAGTTCAAGTGTTCCAAGATGGGAGATGTGAAGTACTACCTGGGGATGCATGTGGAGAGGGACCTTGACA